GGCCTCGACATGCTGCTGATCCTCTACATCGTCGATGCGGAGGGCAAGGTGGCGACGCGCAGAGTTGCTGGTCGCGGCCCATGTCGAGCGCGAGATCGCCGAGCCCTATATATCGGCTGGCTGATTTCCGCGGGGCTGGCGGGGGTTCGGTGACGAGGGGACCGTCCGTTTGCTCGATGCCGGTCGGACGATGATGGACGCCTATCTCGATCGGCGCGGTATGCGCGGCCATGACAAGAAATTCATGCATTAACCGGCACTTGTCGTCGGGCAGGGCGGCGGCCGCCATCCCACCAAGTACTGTATGATTTTGCAGGGGGTGACGGTTTTCCGCCGTTTTTGCGCGTCGTCGCGGCGATGCACCCATAATGGTGATAGTTGTCTTTGATCTGAATGGGATCGGCCGGAAATCGTATGTCGATCGGCAACAATTCTTGGGGGTGGGGATGGAAACAGAGGCGAAGAAGGGCGGGCGCAAGCTCGGTCGTCTGGGATGCGGTGTGGCGCTTGGCGTCATGGTGCTGATCGGGGTGATCGGGGCGCTGGCGGACGGCGATGCGGGGCGGGGAATAGCTCCGCCTCGTCGGGCACGACAGCTCCAGCGAAGGCCGATGCAACTGCCGAAGCGCGACAGGCCTTCGTCGCCAATTACAAGGCTGTCATCGCCGCCGCGAAGCCCTGCGATGCGATGATGGGCGGCATAGAGGAGGCCAAGTCGGGATCTCCGCTGACCCTTTATCAGGCCGCGAAGGCGGGCCGAAGCGTGCGAGGGCAGTTGGACAAAAAATCAGAGCGATCGAACCGGCGGATCTGCCGGACGCTGCGGCGGGATAAGGAGAAGGCCGCGCTAAAGACGTGCAGCGGCGCTTCATTTCCTGCGCCAACGCGCCATGGAGACGGCGATGGAGATCGCGGACGGTGATGCTGCCGTCGAAGCTGCCGACCTTCAGGAGGATATGCGCGATGGCCAAAGCCGCCGTCATGCGATGTGCGTGGCGCAGTATATCGAGGCGAGCGAACCGGCAGGCGTTAAGCTGGATCAGATGAAGATTTAAACATCATGTGGTTTTCGATACTCACCGAAGGGCGCATATAATGAGCGTCGGGCAATTGCTATCGGACCCTACAAGCTTTGGTTGCTCAAAGCCGCTGACTTTTGGGTTGGGGCAGTTGGGTTCTTAATAACCGCCGTCACGTTTTTTCTTGGCTGGTATAAGCTAACCAAAGTTCAATCTGAGGTTAAAGCGGTAAAGTCTCAGATTGCACATTATGACGCTATCTTCGAGTCGAACGGAATGGCCGCAAAATATCAAGAAATGATGGGTAAGCTAGATGAGGCTGATGTCGATTGGAAAATGATCGCGAGCATCATGACTTCGATTAAAATTGATAGTGTAGGCATAGAACTAACTCTCAAAGAGGCTGACAAAGTCGATCTTGGAGAGGAGGTTCGAAAAAAAATTCAATCAAGCTGGAAAAGATAATATCTGGTATCGAAAAAACTCGGTAACCGGAAATGGCGTTTTGCCTGATAAAGCGTATGTTCAAAAACAATCCGGTCTGGACGCGAGATAGTCGGGAAATCTGCGCGTTTTCAAGGAGTTGGTTCAATGAGCGAAGAGCAATCAGGAAAAAATCGGCTTCTAGTCGCTAGGCTTTTTAAGAAGACCAAGAAAAAAGCGTAGCTTGGTTGCTCAATGGGAACAGAGACCCCATGGCGGAGCTTGGCGCGTACAGAATAACTCTTGATACCCTCTTTCAGTGGTAGCGGTATGGTCGAAAACCCGTACATTTTAGCTTGCAGGGGGGAGTTGATTGAGCATTTAACTGACGAGTCTTTGGATGAAGTTTCAACCGCACCCTTTGGGTACGAAAGCTATTATTCCCTAATGTCTAAAACTACGTGAAATGGCTTTTCGTCAGGCGGTTGGTGCTGATACCGCCGTTGACGACATACTGGACTTCCTAAAAATGACAAGCCATGTAGCTATGTCGAATATCTCATCCGCCTCGATTGTGTCTCTCACGTTTCCGGTTTTATGGGATGGCCCGCCCTTTCCCCCCGGCATCGGATATGATGCTGGTGCTTGAAGAGGAAAGGAGCGGACCGATGTCTGTTGTGATCCTTGGCGTTGATTTGGGCAAGAATGCCTGCAGTGTGGTGGGCGTGGATGCGGCGGGAGCTGTCGTCGTACGCAGGTCGATGCGCCGCCAGACGCTGGTCGACTACGCTGCCAAGCTTCCTGTGCGTGGTCGCGATGGAGGCATGTTGCGGTGCCCATTATCTGGGGCGCCTGTTCGCCGCGCACGGACATGAGATCGGCTGATGTCGCCGGAGTACGGACGGCCGTATGTCAAAGCACAGAAGAACGATGATCGTGATGCCGAGGGGATCGCCGAGGCCGCCTCGCGTCCAACGATGCGCTTCGTCGAACTCAAGACCGGGAGCAGTTGGACATCCAGACGCTCCACCGGGTTCGCTCGCGCGCCGGTGGCTGAGCGCAGGAGCCTGACCAACCAGTTGCGGGCGATCCTGCTGGAGCGCGGGACCATTTTCCCGGTTGGGCGGCGCAAGCTGGAACTCGGCATCGATGCCCCTGGCCGATGAGGATACGACCTTGTCACCGCGTCTGCGCCAGTTGGTGGCCGAACTGCGTGCCGAATGGCGCGAACTCGATACCGTGGTGGAAGCGCTGAACGGCGAGTTTGTCGAGCTGGCGCGCAATGACGCGGCTGCCCGGCGGCTCACATCCATCCCCGGCGTCGGGGTGCTGGAACGCAACTGCCCTGATTGCAGCCGTGGGCGATGCCAGCAGCTTTTGCCAAAGCCCGAGACCGGGTGCCCGCCTCGGTCTGGTGCCCCGTCAGCATACTACCGGCGGCAAGCCGCGGCTGCTCGGCATCTCCAAGCGAGGCAACACCTACTTGCGCACCTTGCCATCCACGGTGCCCGGAGCAGCATTGCCGTCGCTGGCGCGAAGCGAGACCCGTTGGGGCGCTGGTTGACAGGAATGATCGAGCGAGAGTCCACCGCAATGCTATCGTCGTCGCGCTGGCCAACAAGCTGGCGCGGATCGCATGGGCGGCCTTGCGCAAGGACGCGACGTTCGAACGCGGCTACCAAGTCGCGGCATAACCGATCGGCCGCACGCATCTTCATGCATAGGCCAACGATGTTTGCAGGAAGGATCGTGAAGATGGCCTGACAGTCGATCGGCGTCTGGAAAGCCCGGCCAAAAAATGGCACTCGTTGCCGGCGTCTTTATTGTGGCTCCAGACGTGCGGATGTCCATCTTGGCCATGGGGTCACCCATGAGACCGCATACGTTGACGCAGACTGATCAGAACACTTCAAATCCCCCTTGCAGACGGGGGCGGCCATACGTTTTTATGACTGATGAAAGTTGGAAAGACGGCTCAGGTCAGTTTCATATTGACACGGCTCTCATCGAAAAGTGGTTTTGAAATCCCTGCAGACGTGCGGTTGAAATCGAGCTCCCTCGGGTTTCACTGATATGCTTTTTATGTAGCTATCGAAAAGCCATATTTTGCCTTAGCCGCACTCGTAAGAGCTATGAATGCGCAGAGGGCTGGGGATCAGCTAGAAATCGATGCGGCATTCGTTGATCTTCAAGCAGAGGTCAATAATGGCCTTAACAGTCTAAAACATTTTCAAACCATCATAATGGCAACTGCAAACCATACACCTCTTTGATAATAACGGTCGGGTCATTGAGCGGGGTGATAGCAATGGAGAAATGAAAATCGCCCATCCTATGACAGCGTAGTGCGGTTTGATTTCCAAGCTCGGTCTCGCGTTGTGGACCAACAGACTGATCAACCGCCCCTTGAAAGGGGCGGCGGGGATGGCACATTCGATGCCATGCAGGAACGCGTTACCCGTCTGGAAAACACGTCGACCAGCTTGTTGGGACGTAGGCGAGGTTCGTATCGATCTTGCGACGATCAAAGAGAATGTCCGCCATCTTCCCGGTAAAACGTGGATGTTCACGACATTGGCGGCCATGCTGACCGCCCTTGCCGCGATCGTGACGGTGATAACACGGCTGGTGCCAGCCACTGAGCCCAGATATCATCCTTGTTCTAATTTAACTTGCGTTCGGAAGCCGCCATCACCCAAGCTGTGTGGACACTTCGGTCTGAAGCCAATCCACCGCATCGATCTGGGTCTTGAAGCCACTGACCTGGCCTTCTGCTCGGGTTCCCCAGATCAGCGCGACCCAGCGCCGTGTTGATGGAGAAGGACCGGTTCGCGCGCGCAACGCGGCCACGCCGCCTTTTATGGCCTGTTGTGCGGCCCTCCTCGGTCGCATAGACGCGGGACAGGCGGCAGGCGCCGTCCCTTCTTGCCGCTGACGAGGTCTCGCGCTTGCCGGTCGCGCGGTTGTGCGGGGTGGCCCGGACCTCGGCATCGTCGCGCTTCTGGCGGCTGAACTGGTGGGCATCGCCGGGCTTCGACGATGGTGATCGAGGGCAGGGTCTTGCCCGAGGGGACCGGCCATCGCCGACCGGCGAAGATCAGCGCGCCGGCCTTCACGGTCGCGACCGCCGCATCATTCACGCGCCCCGTGCGGCGTAGGGAAGGCCAGATCGCTTTCCCGGCTTTGTGCCTTGGCCCGACCGCGATCGACGCCAGGGCGGCGCCGCGCAGCGGGCCTGATAGCCGTGGCGCTGTGCGATCTCGGTAATGATCGCGCCGATGGTGGTGGCATTGTGTCCCCTTTCCGCCGTTGTTTCAGGCCGGCGGTGAAGTCCGCGGCCTTGGCGCGGATGGTCAGCGCGGGGGCGATCCGCCATGGTCGATCGTCTCGACGTGAAACTCCCCCTTGTCGACCGGGCCGGGGTGACGCCGGTTCCCTGACGCCAGCCGAGCGAGACGCGGATCTTGGCGCCGGTCGGGGGCAGGTCGAGCGCATCGTCGCTATCGTCGAGGACCGTGGTCGAAGGTGTCGGCTTCCTCGCTCGCTTTCGGAGATCCCATGGAGATCAGGCGGGGGCGGGTGCGACCACCGAACAACATACGTAGCCGCGCAGGATCTTGGGTAATGTCGCGGCCGTCGACGGTGACGCGGAATCGGGGATGGGCTGGATCATGCGGCGTCCTCGGTCGACGCGGAGCAGCTCGATCGCGAAGTCGGTCTGGCGCGGGGGTGCCATCTGGCCAGAAAATGCTTGAGCGTCTCGGTCAGGCCGGTGATGACGAAGGCGCCGTAGACATAGCCGCGCCCGTCGACCAGCGGCCGTCGTCGCCGGTGCCCGCCATGCGGCAGATCTCGTTGAGCGAGATCTCGCCATCGGCGCGATCTCAGTAAAGACCGCACCGGGAAGGAGATGGTTTCGTCACCGGGCCGGTGAACTGGCTGGCGTCGCGCGCGCCGATGCGGGTGGCGGTTGCGTGGCGCCAGCTCGACTTCCGCTGGATCTCATCGAACGCCAGCGTATCGATGCCGAAGGCGAAGAGCCCGAGGATGCGCAGCATCGGCGGTTACTCCCAATCGGGCCGGTCGCCGAAGCTGGGGAGCCGGCGCTGTGCGCGGCGATCCCAGCTCGCGTAGCTGCGCGCCACCATTTCGGCGATGGCTTCCTCGCTTTGACCGAGCGCAGCGTTGATCACGAAGGTGATGGGTGGCAGGCCGGCCGCGATCGGCGTGGCGCCGCCACCACCGCCGCCAGTTCCGGGCGCGGCCATGGCCATCGCCGGCAGGGCGGAGCCGGTGACGATCGCGGCGGACAAGCGGCGGACAGGCTGTCCATGCGCTTGACCGGCTCCGATTCCTGCGCGGCGATGCCGGCGGACAGGCCGCCAACGATATGGCCGCCGATCGCCGCGAAGACGCAGCAGGCGAATGGATGTCGAGTTTCTTGCGGGTGGCGGCCGGCATCATGACGGCGACGGCGTTGACGACGCCGCGCAGGCCAGGGGACGCTGGACAGGATGCCGTTGACCGTGCCGGCGATCATCTGGCGCCCGATGGTCGAGAAGCGATCGGGCAGGTGGCAAACCAGCTGGATCGCGGACAAAGCGTGCCCTTTGATCGCAGTCCACTGCGCACCGAACCAGCCGGAGATGGCGCCCGGCTTCCTGCATAGATGAGATAGGCCGCCGCGCCGAGCGGGCGCGACGATCCTGCCCACCACCGTGGCGGCTATCGGACCACCGGCCACAGGCCGATGCCGAGGCCCCGGCCGCGAAGCTGAGCGCGGCAAAGGGGCGATGGAGACCCGCGACGACGATGGCGCCGCCCCTGGATCAGGAACAGGGTGGCGAAGGTCGCGGGCGCCGAGGGCGATAGCCCGTCAGGGGTGGGATGGCGGCGGGCGGCGTCGCCGATCCGTGGCGAAATTGTTGAGCGTGGCGCGCCGGAATTGACCGTGGGTAGAAGCTGAGACCCCAGCGTGATCGCCGTGGGGCGGCGTTCGTCTGAGCGCATTACCTGTGCCGCCGAGTCCTTCATCCGCTCGGCAAAGTCGCGATCGGTGGTCCTGTCCGACTTCATCGCGTCGCTGCGGATCTTGCGGAACAGCGCCATGTTCTGGATCAGCGGGCGCAGGCCCCTGCTGGACCTCGGGCTATCCTCGAACAGATAGCCGAGCTTCGACGGGTCGCCTTTCAGCGCCTTGTTGGTGATCTCGGCGATGGCCTCCAGTGGCGTTCTGCCCTCCTGGTAGGCCTTCTTCAGGGCATTGGGCAGGTTGGCGCCCCATCTTTTCGAACGCCTTGTGTTGGTCGCCGGCGATGCGATCTTTTGCAGGACATTGGCGGAGTTGGTCCGGCGCTGGCGCGCTATCCCAGCGCCTTGCGCGCGATCTGGAGCCAGGCCGCGAGATCCGCGACGGCGCCGGCGCCCTTTTTGACCCAGCGCCCGGTAGGAGGCGGTCAGCGAGGGAAAGACGCCCGCCATGTCCTGATTTCGGAATGCGCCCGCCTTTCAGGCCGCCGCCATGATGTCGATCACGCGCTGGGTCTGCGCGATCGGGACCTTTGAGGTTGTCGGTCGCAGCAAAGCTGGCGTTCGACAGATCCGCGATCTCCGCTTTGTACGCGGTCGCGGCGCGGCCGATCGGCGTCATCATCGCCACCGCGTCGGGGACGCGCCCATGCCCTCCAGCGCGTCGACGCGGCCTGCATGTCGGCAGGCATCTGGTTGGCGGCGCGGGCGGCGATCAACAGGCCCTTGCCGAGCGCCCTCGGTCTTAGGCCGGGACAGATCCGCCTTCCTGACCGATATCGTCATGGTCGATTCGTAGTCCTGCGCGGCCCTCCGCCGGCGATGATCGGCGCGGCCATCGCCATCCTGGTGCCGATCAGGCGGCACCGCCCGCCGCCGTGCCGGTGGCCATGCCTGCGCGCCCGCGAAAAAGCGGGCGCGGCCGGCGGCCATGCGGCGTTCGCGGTCCGGCAGGCGCGCGGGCGGCGTTCTGGTCGTTCAGTTCTGGTTGGTCCCTCGACACCGGCGGCGCAGTTCGCGTTCGTGAAAGGGCCAGATCGGTGTGTCGCGATCCCGGCATCGCGCAGGCGGGTGCGCAGGTCGCCGAGCTGGCGCGTCTCCTGCGCATGTTGGCGTTCCAGCCGCTCTGCCTCCTGCTTCGCGCGCTGGAAATCGCGGGTCATGGCGCGGGTCGGGTTCTGGGTCTGCCCATGGCGCGACCCAGTTTCGGTCACGCGCTGGCGCGCGGTCTGCAACTCCGCCTCGGTCGAGCGCAGGCCGATCTTCCAGCGCGCGGAAGCCTGCGATATCGCCCCCTGGCGTTGCAGCTCCGCCAGCCGATCGCGGGTGGTCTTCAATGCGCGCGACGCCGCGCGCTTTCGACCTGCCGGCGATATCGCGCAGCGGGCGGGTGGCGCGGTCGCCGGCCTCGATCAACAGGCGGAGGCGGAGGTTACGATCCATGACGTTCCGGGTCGTGACGGCGGGCGGCCTCGCCACGCCAGATCATCAGGTCCGCCACCGACATCCGTTCGAGCTTGTCGAGCGTCCAGCCGAAGACAAAGCGATATCGCCCATGGGGGTCTTCTACCCGCGCTGGAAGAGCGCCTCCCGTGCTGCACTCGTCAGCAAAAATTGCGATCTCCCCCGGCGATCTGGGTCACATCGGCGGGATCGAGCGCAGCAAAGATATGCAGGACAAGCGGCGGGGTGGTGATGCGCGGCGCGACCATCGCGATCTGGTCATATTCCATACGAACCGGCCGCCGAGATTGGCTCCTCGCAATGCCCCGCCACGCGGGCGGCGCAGCGTGATAACGGTGCCCTGGCAAGGGACTTGACCGTCCTCGGTCGCGGCGTCTTCCTCAAGCGTGATGGTTTCGGTGTTCTTCGCTTCGGCCGCGAGATGGGTCCGGTTGCTATGGGGCCGGCCGCTGGCGTTGCCGGCCCCGGAAGGCGATCGTCAGATCAGGAAAAGGCCTGGAGCGTCGCGATGGCCGGCCATCGGGTCGACGCCGCCCACGATCTCGACCATCCTGAGGATGTCGATCTCGACATCGGTGACGCCGTCCCACCTCCTTGTAGTAGACGCAGTCGAGATGACCTTGACTGCCGCTTTCACCGGCTTCGCTCGCCACGGTCGATCTCGCGATGCCGGCCGCGCAGCGTGATCTCGCAACTATGGATCTGACCGGTGCTGTCGTCCTGATAGGAGCCGGCAAAGCGGATCTGGACGCCGCTCATGCTCGGCAGGCCATATTGGCGGATGATTTCACGGATCGGACCGCCATAGCTGTGCTCGACCGTCAGATCGTCACCGCCACCCAGATCGATCGGAGCTGGCGATTGAGCGCCCCGCCGCGCCACTTTTTCGAGCTTACGCTCCAGCTTGGGCAGGGTCACGCTTTCGGTATCGGCGGCAATTCAACCCGTCGATGAACATCATCATCTGTTTCAGTTTGCGGGGGAAAGACATGGCCATCCTCAAGGGACCGTGGGGATGCGATCAGGCCGCGACCGAGAGGGCCGCGAAGTCGAGCAGAATTCGTCGGTGATCTCCTGCTCGATCCCGAGATTTTCGAGCGGCGGACGGGGGTGTAGCGGAAAAGCCGATCAGCAGCTTGCCGGCCTTCAGGTTTGCCGCCGGGTTCTTGGCGGATCGAAGCTGGCGACCGCGCCAAGATCCGTCCGGCGCGCTCCGCGCGGAACAGTTCGTTGATCTGCTCGACAATGTCCTTCACCGGGCTCGGTAGGGAGCGGCTTGTCGAGCGCCCATACCAAGCCGGTCGCGATGCTGTCCGCCGGATCTGTGCGGTGCGACCGCGCTCTCGAAGGCGAAGTCGCTATCCGTCACCGCGCAGGTGCGGTTGCCCCAGAAGCGCAGGGCGCCACCGATGCGCACCACCGTGACCAGCTCGGAGGCGTTGAGGACGTTGGCGTCGCAGGTTTCGTCCTCGAGGTCGAAGGTCCACATCGTCGGTCAGGCTGTCGAGATCGTTGAGCGACATTGACAGGGTCTTGTGCCAGCCCTGCGCGGCATCGATGATGGCGCGGGCCCCCTGGCGGCAACGGGCGCGACCGGGACGGCGATCGAGGCGCCGGCCGCGCCGTAAAGGGGCGGTGACGCCAGCCGCAACAGGGTCAGCTCGCGCGCATCGGGGAACAGCGCCCAGGGGCGATGGCGGCGCCACGATCGAGGCCAAGCGCCTGGCATAGACGCGGGCGCGTAGCTTGGCGACCGCGATCAGGGCGGTGGGTCACCGCTGCGATCTGAGGCCGGGGGCGCTGAGAATGCGCGGCTGACGTTGAGCTGCGCCGGTGCGGTCAATAGCGCCTGCATCCCTCTTCACGCCGGCGACATCGGCGCCGATGATCGCGGTGGTGGCGGCGGCATCGGCACCGAGCGCGACGCGCACGACGACGACGGTCGTGTCCGCCTGCCCGGCGATGGCGCGCAGCGCGGCTCGAGCGTGCCGGTCGCGCCGGCCTTGCCATCGCGTCCTGAAGGTTGGTCACCTTGACCACGGTGTCGAGCGGGAAGGCAGTGGCATCGGCGGCCGGCGCGGTCGCGACCAGCGATGACGGCGGTCGAGACGGTGGCGATCCCGCGCGCCCGGCGCGTCACCTCGCGAACGTTGATGCCGTGGAGAAAGCCCCGCGAGGGGGCCTTTGCGAAAGCGCGGGACAGCGCGGATGGTCGAGATGACAGAAGAAGCCGGGGCGGCTGGGCACATCGGTGCGGGTGCCGGTGATGGTCAGCACCGCCGAATGGGCGGAGGCGCCCGGCGACAGGGTGATGCGACGCACGCGGGCGCGCCCCTCCGGGCGCATCAGCGCCAGCGCAGCGGCGGCTATGACGCGCAATCGCCCCAGATCGTTGTTCGGCTGGTCGAGCTGCTCGGGACCAGACTGCCATAGTCGCGCCGGCCGATGGGTGCCGAGGGGCGTCGACAGATATCGTCGATCGACTGGAGCAGATGATCGGCGCCGGCGATCGGGCGGCCGGTGGCGATCCATGCCGTTCACTGCGGCGGACCCGAAATCGCGGTGCCGGCCTGCACCTTCGTATGGAGGTGGCTTTCAGGCTCTTGCCGCCGCCCACGACATCCTCGCTGGCGGTCAGCTTG